ATGAGCCCAAACTCGGCACACATGGTACTACTCGTCACGGACTTCCAGTAGCAGTCACCCAAGTATACCTTCAAGTCACTTCACCAAGTTCGGAGCTGAAGTTATCATAACTAACAAAACCAGCTCAAAGTCCACAGCCAACATCTCACTCCCTGTAGATGGCTTCTAGTACCTAGCTGTCTCTGGAGCAGCCATTTATATGTCGTATCTGATGCCTCATCCACACGCTTGGCAAACAACGGCAAACAGCATACACCAAACAGCAATCACGAACGTGTGGATGGTTGTTCGCCTGTTTGTTTGTTTGTTTGTATGTGATTGCCAGTGATCGGCGTTGGTGTCGGTTTTTATGCACCGATCAAAGGGTGTTCGACAAACGTGTTTGCGATGTATCTACACGTTTGGCGATCAGTCAGTAGTACGCGCGAGCTTGCGGCTTGCGGGCGGCGGAAGGAGTTATTAGTGGCTATTATTATTATACTCTACGCCAATGTTACCATGTAATTTGTCTCGGAGGTAAATATGATTTCAAAAGTTGAGTTTCCTACCAACTCTACTTCGAAAAGTTAGTAGATCTACCACCTATATTTTTTTAAGTTTTCTAGAGACCTCCCAATAATAATGTGATTGACTCCTAATTAATGTTTCTATTGGGTAACAAATATTTCACCTCTTTATATGAGCCCCGTGTGAAAGCAAGATCATTGATCATCAATTCCCAAAATAAATTTTTTATATAATTATATAAGATTAGTATATCCTATATATCGATAAATTTAGCATATCCTGATTTAATAGCTTTTAGACTTTCGTAGTTACACAACAAGGAACCCTTATAGTTTCGCCATGTCCGTCCGTCCGTCCGCGGTTTTGCTCAGACCCTAGGTGGTACAAATCTGTAATTTGGCACAGTTATAAATATTAATCACGCCTAGAAAACTGTGAAATAAAATCTTAAAAACATTTTTATTTTGGGTATTTGCCATACAAGTAAATAGAGAATGATTTTTTTACGTGTCTATTCTATCATGTGGGGTATCGTTGGATAGGTCTTTCAAAAACCTTGGGGGTGTTGAACAACATCTTTTCGATTCAGGGGTCCGTTTGCGAAATATTTAGCTTTAGTGGTATTTTTCATTAGAATCATGTGTATGATTATTATGAATTTATTTTATTTGCCCACTCCTCTACCAACTTAATCGATGTATATCGAAATGTGAAAAGTATACCCAATAGTAGTTTATGTAATGCAGTTAAAAGGAAAACTATCACAGCTAAGTAGAATCACGAAGTTAACGAGTAATAGTTGACCAACTTATAAAATACACTTGGATTAGTAAAACTTTCGTTACTTTTTCATAGAAAAGACCTACGACTATTTTATAAGGCGCTTCGAATAAAGAGATAATCTATGTTAAAAATAAATAGATTCAATATAATGTCGAACGAAAGTTCGGGGTTCGATTCCCCAATCAAGCATTAATTTCATAAAAGTTTGTTTTTAGATTAATTTAGAGTCACGTGTTACATAATAATCAGTTATGCAATACGAATAAAAGCGTTCAAACCAAACTTATTTGAACCTGAAGACAATTTATAGCAGTGATAATTGAGAATTCATTTGAGATTCTATGGTGTGTAAAATCTTCAATACAATAACTTAGAGAGCAATTCATATTGCCTTATTTTTAAATAAAAATAGGTCAACCCGAAAGTAATTGCTGCCACAAGCTCGTAGTCCGTCATGTTTGCCTATCCGGAATATACTAGCATAGCACGTTCGCCGAGCGTGTGGAAGCCGTGTTTGTGTTGGGTGAATGTGGTCGGTGTTTGTTCGTGTATGGTGTATGTGGCAAACACCAAGCGTGTGGAGGCGGCATAAGTATATTTTTGTAGGTAATAAGAAATATGAAAAAAAAAAACAATCTTTCAAATTATCAAAATGTTTATACTTGATTGCGATTCCCGCAGCTAACCGTGCGTACACTTGTGTGTGTGACCAGTGTCAATGTAATAGTTCGATTCTATACCTATCAATTTTGTAAACGCTTCCTTAACAGGTTTTTTTTTATAGAATAAGGGTGACAAACGAGCGCATAGTCCACCTGACAACCATACAACCAAACATAGCAGCAGCACTGCTATTTCACGCTGGTATTCTATAAGGGTGTGGTACTTCCCGGTAGGCGTATTAAGTATCTTACAGAAGGCTAGCGATAGCGAAATTAGAACAATAATTGCTGATAAATCGCAGATACGTACATACAGTGTGATTATCCACATCCAGGGCGGTATTTTTGTTTACCTATAGTGCATCAAGCTCATAAGCTTGACTATCGACGTAGGATTAAAAAAGATTTGGTATGTGGCGGATAGAAGGAATTCTATATATACTGCTTTAATTTCGGAACTTTGTTAGCGCGATTTAGGCTTCGATGTGTTTCGCTTGTGGCGCGACGACAGCGACGCCACAGGTATTCATGTTCTAACTAATATCAAGATAAAGCGGCCTTGTCCATAGATTACAGATAATCGTATTTTTATTGTGTAACTAGCTGTTCTCCGTAACTTCGCCCGCGTGTAATTTAGGTTTTTAATTATGTTGCGCGGAACCCTAATACTTTTTCTAAAATATAAGTAGCCTAAGTTACTACTCCTTATAACATCAGATCTCTGCCAGTGAAAGTCCCGTCGAAATCGGTCCAGCCGGTTCGGGGATTAGCCGGAACAAACAGACAGACAGATAGACGGACACAGACAAAAATTAAAAAAATTGTGTTTTTGTTATAAGTACCATTACTTTCATAATGCATTTAGTAAAAAGCTGTTATTTTGACATTACAAACAGAAACTTCAATTTCATTTATTTGTATAGATTCGCGAGGGAAAAGTAAATGAATATCCCCGTTCATTTAGTATACCGCTTTCATTTTCAGGTGGCAGCTAGTGTTCTAGCTAGCTCAGCCATTTTCTGATCACATCTCGATATCCTCTAAAAACAATATATAAAAGTCCACTGCACTGTTGAACATAGGCCTCCCCCATTAATTGCCTCATAGGAGGGATATTTATTATAGTTATCATATAGCAGTCGGGTCGGCAATCGCAGTTTTATTTTGAGTTGTTATCGTAAAAATGCTGCTGATCATCTCCTGTTGCAGTTTCCCTCTGTCGCCTCTCACGACATCCACGGGATGACCTAGTATAGACTTGGGTAGTGGATATTTTTACACCGTCAATTCTTACTAATCGGAGCGGACCCAGTGAAACTAAAAACGTAAAGATGCGATGAAATTTGGACTTTCAGACATCGAAACTAGTATAACAACCTCCAAATGCAAAGTTAAAAGTGTAAAATAAAACACTTATTGCAGTTATAAATATATTTTATATTCTAAACATCTATAAATGTATAAAATATCAGTCACCTTGGGCTAACTACTCACATCATATAATATCATCGAAAAGTCAGTAATGATTTTCAGTATATCATTGCAAGATTTTATAATTGAAAAAAAAGCAATTTAAACATTTTACTTTTTATTGTATCATATAAGCAACATTGAAATTTAAATCCTTTATATACTTACAACATAATGTAAATCGCATCTGTCCATTTTTATATTTTGATAACTACATGTACATATTTACGAGAAGACTACACATTAAATGAAACTAATTTTTTAAAAGGTACCCGGGCTGACATCGGAACGTCATACACCAGTCTCCCCCCCCCCCCCCCTTCCCCCGTGACCACACCATGGTTGTAAAGCACCCGAAACGTTGGGAAATAAAAAGTTAAATTAAACGCGATTGAATTCGCAAAATTAGTTTCATTTAACTATATGTACATATTTATTTTAAATACTGTTAAGATATCTACCGTCATGTTATTATTCGTAATTATTACACCAAAATCATCATTGAAATTTAAATTGTCTGCCATGAAAAATTTATTATTTCTCTTTGCATCCATAATATTATGCTGAACTGAAAGAAAATTTTCAGAGAAAATATTTAAAACAAGTCGAATGTAAAGAAGATCAAAAAGTAATTTATTATTAAAAGCAAATCTTTAATAAAAGAATAATGACTTACATACTTAATAATAACGTTAAAAACATTTTATTTGAAAATATGAAAAAAATATACATCTTTTGTGGTACAGACTAGACTTTTAAAAATAAATTAAATAAAAACTAATTAATTGCAACAGCTGCAAAACTGCAAAATAGCAATATTATGATAGACACATGAAATGTAACCGAAAATAATGCACTCCATAAGCAAACCATAATAATATAATCAAGCTAACGACAAGTACCTTTATGCATTTGAGATACCTATTCGATTTTATTTCAAAGTATTTAATTGGAAAAAGTATTGAATAACTTAAAAAAAAACGCATAAATCTTAAATCTAATGGTGATCATTCATTTTAGGCACAAGTCACATTCCACTTAGAGAATATATTTCTACATAGCAGTTCTGAAATATTTATAATCTATGGTAGCTACTAAACAAGTCAATTATTAGAGTTCATATCGTACACTTCATTTCTTTATTAAATAATTGTTAAAGGAACCAGATTCAATATCATTACATCCAATTGAAAAGCAAAACAATGGTAAAAAATATTATAAAGCAATTAATAAAAATAAAATTTGATTAGTAATGTAAATATTATTGTGTAAACAATTAAGTAGTTCTTATTGCACTATAAGTTATTTTTATATTTTTAAAGCTACCAGTGAGTTTCGTTTCGTTCAAACGAAAAAAGGCAACAAAATAGCCAAAAATAATATTACAAAAATATTTTAAATAAAATCTGACTTGATATTATAAATATTTTAAATAAGGCAAACATAACCTAAAATATGGATAATTTTAATTGACTTTAAATTCCAATTTGAGTAAATATTTGGTCCAATAAAAATAAGCATCTGCTAAATATCACAATATTATTTGAGTTTAAATACAATGTTGTATGAAGGATCACATTAAATAGTTGGATTCAGATTGTCTACAGCCTCCATAAGACTTGGAACTGAGTCCACTTTCATCCCTCTTTTTCGGAGTCCATTCAGTTCTTCTATTAATTTGGTTTTATCCCTGCCCAAAGTCTCCCTGGAATTTTAAAGTACAGCTTGAAATCACAGCGTATGAATAAAAACATAAATATTAAAGGTCTAAATTTAAGTATACATTGCGACTGTCTCCGTGTTTCTGATACTAGATCAAACATTACCTTCATTCTTTTTATATAAGCATACATGCACAGCAAACCATATATAATGCATGTAAGCTAGAGACTCTACATCAGCCTCGGTATCTAAGGAGCTACATTTGAACTGATGTCAAATTTACAAACACTCTAGCTGGAGACAACTTTAGTAAACATCCTGCTTAGAGTACGGCGTATGTCCCGATCTGATGCCCTGTAATCACCAGCAACAGAGTTCTGTAACGGCATACCGGGGTCAATCCTCGAGATCTTTAGTAACGACTAATAAATTCATTTATCAATCATCAATAATCATCACTATATTAATTTAATTCAATTTAATGCAACTGGAGCGACGCGATCATCGTCTGGAGCGGCTCCTATATACCTAACGTCCCTTGATCTTTATGTAGACAAGGAGGTGAGGGCTAGTTTGAATTGGATTAACGCCCAGAGCGGTCTGATCTTGCTTTCCTACAGATTGAGATCCCTGCTCGACTCCAACACCAACTTTATGCATGATTTCAGATATCACAAGTCCACTATACACTTAGAATAAAAAGTAAAAAATTACATAGTGGAACTACCCTTTACTACGGTAGTTCCCTTCTCTAGAGGGCCTCTAAAGAAGTCTGGTTGAATGGATATGTTATCTGTGAGGTTGGTAGCCTTATTTGGTTTACTGATGGGTCAAAAATGGGCCTCGACGTAGGTTTTGGTATTTATGGGGAACACCCCAAATTCAAGCTTAATATGAATTTGAGGAAATTCAACTCTGTCTTTCAGGCAAAAATTTTCGCCATTCTTCAGTGTGCGGAAATCAACATGCAAAAACACTACGTCAACTATATTATATAAAAACAAGCAGCAGCGCTGAAATCAAACTTTGTGACCACGAAGCTAGTTGGAGACTGCGCGAACCGTCTAAATACCTCAGGGTGTAACATGGTAGTTTTGAGATTGGTTCCGGGTCATGCGAGTATTGATTCATTGAAGACATACTTCATACATACAGGCTTAGCAGTGAACTATAGTCATAGCAGCGATCACAATAGATCTTACAGGTTGTAGTGATACTGGTCTTTCTACACCTGCATAGCTGCTTGCACAAATTAAATAACAAGTTACTTACATTGTAATTTCTAACGAAAAAAGTTTTATTTATATTTTTTATTTTAGTGCACCCTACCCATTGTTCTTTTTCTTATTTTTATTTATTTCTTCTTCTCGGTTGTCTGGAAGAGATTGCTATGTAGCAATAAGACCGCCCTTTGTATTTCCCTCAATAGTTGTTTATTTTTTTATTTTTGATGTTTTTATCTTTTCTTGGTGTACAATAAATATTGTATTGTATTTTTGAAATTTAGTTAATAGTTGCATGTCACGAATGCGTATAAATTAAAAAAATCACCTAAGACTACCCCAAATCTCTCCGTGGGTGTCGTAAAAGGATACAGAGAGAAACTGAAACAGGTGTTGAGCATCTTCCTGATAACAACTGATTTTTTTTTATAAACTACTAAAAACAACTACTTAAAATCACCCATATAAAGCAATCTCTGCGGAGGCCTATATTCAGCAATAGAATTTGATAGATCACAATACTTTATCACCCTAAAATGTCAAAAGAATTATCTATTCTTCTTTTTCATCGTCAGCCTGTAAAAGTCTACTGCAAGACATGGGCCCCTTCCAATGTAGCGGTGACTCGCCATAATTGTCACAATTAGCAGGCTGATTGACGATCGCAATACAAGACTTCTCGCACCTTTGATGTTGCTGTCTGCCGCACTGAGTATTTGACTGATCTTACGTAACCAATATGTTTATACCTCCATATATCGAAAGCCATGTGGTAGAGCCATACTGCATCAATATTACAGATGTAGCACAATAGGTTGGCCCAACCGGGGCAAGATCACGCTCTCACAGAACACCAGCGTAAAATAGCGGCTTAAGTTACTGCTGTGTTTCGTATGGTAAGTGTAGAAAACCGGAGACCCTTTTTACTGGAAACGAGGCATTCCATCTTAGTCCTCAGAGGTGGTAACACATCTGCATTTTGATTCTTAATCAAGGATAGATGTTTACTGACCACAGCATCCACATACCATCAGGTAGACTGTGAGCTCGTTTGTCACCCTTTATACTATAAAAAAAGGAATTAGGTTTTTCTAGGGTTCCCATAGTCTGTCTCTGATATCAAATCTCCATGATGAAATAGTCCGCGCCGCCACTAAACGGCAAGCTAATTACCATTCCCTTCTTATTATTGAAGTTTGCAATTCAAGAAATTATGTAGTTATCAATTACAGTCATTGTTACCTCCTCCTTAGTTTCGTTTTCATATTTAGTGCATATTTACGTTACTTACTTTTATTTTAAATTTAATATTGAATGTGTAATGAATATATAATAATAATGAAATACATATATAGTATGGAAAAAATATTGCAAATATTCAGAACAAATATATAACTAACAACGATTCTATGTGAACGTAGACGTGGGCACAGCTAGTTTATTAATAAATACATAGACAATATTTCACTATTATTGTACATTAAGCAATTTGTAAGAATAGCAATATGCTTCCATTGAGACTGAATTTTTATTCAAATAGTTTTGATTGAAACCAGTGATGTCAGACTGAGTAAATAACTAAAACTAACCAGATGGATATGCATGTATGCAGCAAAGGTACATAAATTAGTAGCAAGTCTGAGTCACTGACAGCTTCATAACGTCTTAAAGCAAGCTGTGCCCAGCGCTCCACTGGGCCTGCCAATGCTCCACCACTTGAACCAGCACATGCTACAATGCGGCACAGGACACTAAGCACTACCCGTGATCTGTCTGTATATACCTGTAATTGCAAATAATATAGATATATTGTTTTGTTATAAATCGCTATATATTAACATATATTTGAACATAATTTATTATTCAAAAAATAAAACATATTTTAATAGTCTTCAGATGATTTAACCGAGGTGCTAGGCTTTCGCCCTAAATATTAAAGTACACGAGTAACCCACGTTCACTCTAGGCCATACCTCCTCTTCAGAGAAATAACACGCATTAGAGTAGCATGGCAGACGCTTTTATAACCCTCTCAGAAATGGTAGGAGGTCTGTGTCAAAGTCAGTCATATTATACAGATAGTTACTTACGTCACTTATTTTAATATTAATAATTTTTCTAACAACAACACTAAGCTCCTCCTAAGTGGGGATTATAGTCATACACGTATTTAACATGGATGATACAGTCACTAAACACACTGTATATGTGTATGATACAATACTGATACTTTCTAGGAGGTATAATAGTGACATAGCATGTTGAGTGTGTTGTGAATGTGAGCCGTTGTAGTAGAAACCTTTAGTATTACTTGACATTTTAAACATAACATTGACGGTAATTCGGCTATACGTAACATGTTCACACATGTTAAACAAATCATGTTTTGCACTAATACTGGCCCTAATGCCTAATGACTTCCATCACTTCCATCACTTTCATACCAAAATGATCCTAATTTAATGTATGGAACATTATTTAAGCTTATTTGCAATGAATTTAATAATACTTTTACTTCTAAAACATTCTCCTTGAACAGTCGGAAGTCATTCAATGAATGGGCGACAGTAGGAGTCCATAAGAGCAGGCATAGGTTATATGATCTTTACCATGAAAGGTCATATAATCATAGCGTCGAATTTAGGGAATATGTAAAAAAATATTCAAAAATATTTAAAAGAGTGTGCTCCATAGCCAAGTCTTTGCATTTGAGCAACAAAATTAAGACGGCTTCCAATAAAATTAAAATGACATGGAGTATAATTAATAGCGAAACTGGTAAGATCAACTCTCGCAATTCTAATTACCAGTTAAGTGTTAACAACAAATTAACTGTATCAGATCAGGACGTAGCAATGGTTTTTGAGAAATATTTTACTGATATTCCGATCTTGACCACTAAGTCACTGAATTCTTCTCCTGCCGTCGCCGAATCATTACTTAAACAAAATGTAAATGTGTGTACAAAGAATTTTACATTTCATAAAGTGTCATCAAAAGATATTGTAAAATATTTTAAAACTATTGATGTTAAGAAAACTGCGGGTCTGTGGGGGATTTCCGTTAAAGTTATTGCGTCTATAATAGATACAATCGCGCCTCATTTAGCTATTATTTTTAATACTAGTATCGAATCTGGTGTGTTTCCTGATTTAATGAAGCATAGTAAAGTAATACCTTTATTTAAATCTGGTAGTACATTAGACCCCGCCAATTTTAGACCTATTTCTGTACTACCAACACTTAGTAAGATTTTTGAAAAAATTGTTCTTGTTCAAATGTTAAATTTTTTTAATATAAATAATTTACTTCATAAAAATCAATTTGGTTTCACAAGGGGTCGCTCGACAACTGATGCCGGTGTTGAGCTGATTAAATATATCTTTAATGCATGGGAGAATTCACAGGATGCTTTGGGTATATTTTGTGACCTATCCAAGGCCTTCGATTGTGTTCACCATGAAACATTAATCAGGAAACTTCAACACTACGGTGTAAGAAGTGATGCCCTTAAATTAATTATTTCATATTTAAGTAAGAGAACGCAAAAAGTTGTCATTAACAATATGAGCTCTTCCGGATCGATGGTACAAATGGGCGTGCCTCAAGGCTCAATTCTCGGCCCCTTTCTGTTTCTTGTATACATTAATGACTTACCTTACATAGTAGGGGATAACCATGATATAGTATTATTTGCAGATGACACTTCTTTAATTTTCAAATTAAGTCGACAGTTACTAAAATATGACGAAGTAAATAATGCTATCTCTAAATTAGTAAATTGGTTCGATGTTAATAATTTGCATTTAAATGGCACTAAAACAAAATGTATGAAATTCGTGACTCCAAATGTCAAACAATTAAATACTAGTGTAATTTTAAATGGGGAGAAACTGAGTCTTGTAGATACCACCATTTTTCTTGGAATCACACTAGACGCGAAGCTTCAATGGAGCCCCATATATCAAAACTAGCAAGCAGACTTAGTTCTGCAGCATATGCTGTAAAAAAGATTAGAAGTTTAACCAGTGTTGAAACAGCTAGACTAGTTTACTTCAGCTACTTCCATAGCATAATGTCGTATGGTATTTTGCTATGGGGACACGCAGCTGACACTGAAATTATATTTGTTTTGCAGAAGAGGGCCATAAGAGCAATTTATGATTTAAAGCCTAAAGAGACGCTGCGACAAAAATTTAAGGAAATTAATATATTAACTTTGGCCTCTCAATACATTTATGAAAATGTAATGTACCGGGTGTCCGGTGGCAGAATTAGGATTTCAAAATTAAATAATAAAAAAACTGCAAAATATTTTTTTTTATTTCAATGACTATAACAAAGAAGGGAAGTGCGGGTTTTATTTCTTAAAAATTATTTCGTCTAAATGTTGACCATCACGTCGGACACACTCTTGGAATCTGGCTTCAGTATTGCGCGCCACTCGCTGGAGAAGGGACGTCGGGATGCCATTAACCTCGCGAACGATATTTTCTTTTAATGCTGAGATGGTCGGTGGGGCGGTTTCATAAACTTTACTTTTGAGGTACCCCCACAGAAAAAAGTCCATGGGGGTAAGATCCGGCGACTTGGGTGGCCAGGGGATGTCAGCAAAACGGCTTATCAATTTGTTAGGGAACAAATCACGAAGAAGCGCCATGGTCTCTCTAGCAGTGTGAGGCGTGGCGCCATCTTGCTGAAACCATGTCTGTGAACTGTAGGCAGGATGTTCTCTTAATATTGGCAGGAAAAAATCGTTAAGCATTCGCCGATAAGAAACGCCGGTTACAGTAATGGCTTGTCCTTGACGATTTTCAAAAAAATAGGGTCCGATTATTCCTCTGCTTGACAATGCACACCAAACCGTCACTTTGGGACTGTGAAGTGGCTGTTGATGTTTCAATCGCGGGTTCTGTCCTTTAGGTGACCAATAACGGCAGTTCTGTTTATTTACACTTCCATTTAAATGAAAATGGGCTTCATCGCTCCAAAAGATTGTGTTCACTGTACGAAATCGCTGCAACATTGTTTCGCAGAAACTTTTGCGCCAATTGTAATCATTAGGCTTAAGCGCTTGCACAATTTGAATTTTAAAGGGGTGAAGTTTAAGGTCCTTTTTCAATATTTCGTGCACAATCGTTTTTGGGAGCCCTAGAGCAGCCGCTCTCTTACGCACGGACTGTCGCGGGTTATCGCGTAAACTGTTTGCGACAAGTTCGATGTTGTCATCAGTCCTCGACGTTCTGCTGGATCCCGGCCGCGGATTATTTGCTGCTGAACTTGTTTTTCTGAACCTCCGCACCCACAATCGAATCAAATTTTCGCTTGGCGCATCACGTAACCGTCGGATATTGTACCGCGAACAAAATCTTCGACGAGCAATAGCACAGGAATCGTTTGCTTTAAAATAAGCTTCGATTGCGAACGCACGTTGTTCACCCGTCCACTGCGACATCGTGACTAAGGAACCCGCACGAATGACGAATCGAACGTGACCCCCCCGCCCGCCCCTCCGCTAACGGTTCGAAAACAGTTCGAAATTTAAATCCTAATTCTGCCACCGGACACCCTGTACGTACACAAAAATAAAAGTAGTTTTACAAAAATAAGTGATATTCATTCTGTAAATACTAGGAACAGACACAAGCTAGTAGTACCAGTTACTCGACTCCATCGAGTCAGTAATTCATTCTTGGGGCGATGTATACGCTTTTACAACAAAATTCCAGAAAATATACGAAGTTTGACCTGTTCAAAGTTCAAAAACTTTATTAAACTAAGTTTGTATAAAAAGGGTTATTATAATATTAAGGAATTTATGGATGATAATAACCCCTGGAAATGAGGTGATCGCTACCAAGCTATTTCTAATTTGTTGTGTTGTTAATTTGTGTAAGATCATGATTGTAAGCTGTTATTTAAAAAAAAAAGTCCCGCTGGGTTTCTTGCTGGTTCTTCCCAGGACAGAGGTTTTTTCCGAACCAGTGGTAATCAAACAAAAGAGTGACTTTCAATAAGTATTATTTATAATCTATATTGAATAAAAAAGTTTCTGTTTCTGTTTCTGTTTCAAAAATGAGAACTAAGAAAGGCACATGCTGACCATATAATAAATATCATAAAATATATTTAAAACTACTTTTTATAGAATATGGGGCAAACGAGCATGCGGCTCACCTGATGGTAAGTGACTACCGCCGCCCATGAACAACCGCAACACCAGGGGAATTGCAGATGCGTTGCCGGCCTTTTAGAAAGGTGTAAGCTCTTTTCTTGAAGGTTCCTAAGTCGTGTCGGTTCAGAAAATTCGCCGGTGGTAATTGATTCCACAAAGAAGTTGTGCGAGGGAGAAAACTTCTTCTAAATCGCACAGTGGTGGACCGCCAATCATCCAGATGGTATGGATGGTAACGCGAGTTTTGTCGCGACGTGCGATGGTGAAATTGAGCGGCTGGAATTAGTCCGAACAATTCCTCAGAGCACTCCCCGTGATAGATGCGATAAAATACGCAAAGAGATGCAACATCTCTACGCAGTGCCAGTGTATCGAGCCGATCGGAAAGAACTCGGTCGTCGACGATTCGAATCGCTCTGCGCTGGATGCGGTCAAGTGGAAGGAGCTGGCACTGGGGTGCCCCGGCCCATGGCCCAATGAGAACAGTATTCCATGTGGGGCCGAACTTGCGCTTTGTAAAGTTGCAAGCGATGTGCCGGCATGAAATACTGTCTCGCTCTGCTGAGCACGCCAAGCTTTTTAGAGGCCAATTTGGCCTTCCCTTCCAAGTGACCACGAAACTGCACGCTATTCGATATGTCGACGCCAAGGATTCCAATACTGGCTGAGGCAACAAGGGGAGCAGCAGCCTTGAAACTGAGGAGATACGACAAAGGGGTTCTTTTTAGCGGTAAACGCGCAAACTTGTGTCTTCTGGGGATTGAACTGGACTAGATTTAGTCGGCCCCAATCAGAGACTTTGTTAAGCAAAGACTCTACTTCAGACACAAGTTTGTCCCGGTTATTGTATCAAATATCTTTGCCAATGTGTATAATACAACAGAACTTCTCATTTCTGTTTGTAATTGATTGTACGGGATCTATATTAGGGCACCAAGTGAATAGGAAAAGAAATCGAAAACCCAAACAAAGAACTAAGACATATGCCAGACCACTATGCCACAAAGATGACTATATCAATTACGGGATATGATAAAACTATATCCCCTTTATGTATTCAAACAATACCTTCAGTGAAGATGTTTATTATCTAGGTATATCTAGTTATTATGGTCCTGCTATTGTAACAAAATAATACATTGCTTAATAAGGTTTAAAGTGTATTAAGTTACACATTTTATTGTTTAACTGACCACTTCAATTAAAGTAACATCAATTGCAGTTAAAACTGGATATACCAACAATGCTTAGAATGATAGATTGATAGATAATTGTTAATAAACAGGACCATTCCTTTATCACCCATCCTGCTTCCTCCTATACTAGGCAATATTAATGCAGTAGCTGTTAAGGCTTTGGACATCACAATTCTATCCATTTATATTCCAGCTCCCATTCCTTCTTGTATTCCAGATATGCTGATGACCTACAGTTGTACACACAGCCGAATATTGATTGTGTGTCTGTCACGGTGGATATGATCAACAAGGACCTAGAGCATATTAAGAGCTGGTCTGACAGGTTCGGTTTAACTCTTAATCCATCCAAGTGTCAGGCAATAATACTAGATAGCCATCGCACAATTAAGAAAGTAGACACACAGCTCTTACTGCAATCATTTTCAACATTTCTGTTTTGTTATTATGTTCTTCTGTTAAGGATCTTGGTTTAAAGATTGATTACACTTTGAGCTGGCATGCTCAAGTGACAAATGTTATCCAGAAACTCAACGTACCTTGCAGGCTCTTTAAAGGAATGTTGAAAGAGATGTTGCTAAAGATTTTGGCGTTTTCTTAGACTCAAAACTAGATTTTAAGCAACACTGATCACTTAATGCAACGTGGTTATCAGTTAGTTGGTTTTGTTACGCGAGGTATGAAGGAATTAAAAAAAACCTTTGCTCTAATAAATCTTTGTAACACTCTTATAAGACCGATCCTTGAATATGTGTAGGTGGTTTGGTCATCCTATTACAATGTACATATAGCTAATATCAAAGGAGTTCAGAAATGTTTTCTGCGAGGTCTATGTCATAAACATGGATTGATCCTTCACAAAGTCATTCGCTTCTCTATCAATTGCACCGAACTGCTTAATTTAATTAATTTCCAACAGTTGATCTCGTTGGCGTAGCGCGCGTATCTTTCGCCTTGATGTTTACAGAAATAACACGTCTTTCTTTAATCCCGTCATTAGAATGTGTCAAAGTTTTGACAAGCTGATACATCGTAATGCTGATCTTGACATTTTTAATTCTAACATCTCACAATTTAAAAGATCTATAATTGCTACATTACTTAAATATGTATATTTCACGAATATCATTAAATAAGTAATTTTTTTTTATTACTGATTTATTTTAATTCTTGTTATCATATTTTGTTTTGCTGTGAACACTATTGGATTATAGCCCAGTTATAATAATATTTGTCACTGTATATAACTGTGTGATGTATTGCCTTTAATCTGTTTGTGTGCCTTATTAAGAAATAAATTGGTATAAAATGGTTAGGTCCCATCAGTCCTAATATAAACACAAAGACCGGTAAATATTAATAATTTGCATGAATATTGCTTATTTACCATGCAGTGGCGGTGGTAAGAATATCCTCTACTCCTAATCATCCCCTAGATGTAGTAAGATACGACAGAGGGAAACAAATCAGGAAATGGGCAACAGCATCTTCCTAATAATGACTAAAAATAAAAACCTGCAGTTGTGAAACCACTTGAAAAGAGTGACAACTATGGCAAATTTCCCTCCTATGGGACAATCTATGGGGAGCCTATGTTTAGCAGTGGATATAATATATTGTCCCCATCAATGTCATTACTCATTATAACCAACTTAATTAATATTTATTTTTGTACCTATTAAAGCTAATTACCTTATTTAATAATTTAAAACTGGTTTCCAACACTGAAAGCGCTTGATCAAACTTGCTTTCATCTATCAGTCTTTTTGCTTCTTTTAACTCTATATCCTGAAAGAATGCAATTGCAGCAGGGGAATCCCTGAGTCGTGACTCAGTTGCTATCAAATTTAATAATGACTCAAATGCAGAACACCGAGTTGATATCAAATTTGGGTCGAAGTTTCCCATTACAATCTGAAAATAATCAAATTAAATAGTTTAGTTACTATGAGGATGTTGATATCTTTATATATATATAACTATTCAGTCCGTGTATATGTGACTGAACTCCTCCTAAATGGCTGGAAAGATTTTGATGAAAGTTTGTGTGTATTACACACACAAACTTTCATCAAGTCTAAGTTGATTCAAGAATGGTTTAGATTGACAATTGGACCTGGTAGGTGGCGCTGTTGTCGAGATCCAGAAATCACCCGTGCGACGTCAGAGCGGATCACTATAAGATATTTAGTCCCATATAAATATTGGGTACAAATTAAATTAAATATATTTTAATTAAATGTCAAATGGAATTATTTTTATTCTGGGTTAGCTACATTGAATGTAGGCAGGCTAGGGAAGCTCAACCTATATGTACCATTAACATTTTCAAAAAGTTAATTTAGTAAACTAATTTTTAATTTTTTATGTTTACTTTTTCTTTTTCTTTTTCAAAAAATTATTACTTAAGTATTTTCACATAATTTGTATTAATAATTATTAATTACACTTGTCATTTATTGAATTTTATCTCTTTATTTTGTTTAATTTTAATGAGAAAATTATGTCGTTTACTTACTTAACCAACTGCAAAGTTTTTAAATTGGTAACTATTTTGTATCAATAGGAAAATAACTAGTGATACGATTTTTAAAGTAATTTGGCTATGGGGGTCAGAGGTATCAGCTCGTTTTGAAAATCGGGTCTCTTGTCCAAAATAGTATGGGAATCGCTAGATTAGACTAACAAAAATTTTACTTTTAATATAAAGTTAAAACAGACATCAAAGAATTAATAAAATAATATTCCACATAATAGCTTCTGAAGTTGATGCCGGGGCATGACTAACCATGTGCATAGGGCAGGATTAAAGTGCATGAGTATGTGCACAAGCAGAGGAGCATTCAATTTCCTTACTATCATAGTCCAATGGAACGGCAATCTGATGGAAGACAGAGTATAGAAGTAATATAGCCCTGACTACTCAGTGGACTAAGGAATATAACAAGCTCAAAGGAATATCTAGTATGACATTTACGGTTATATTAAAAACTTCACTGATTTTTTTCCAAATTTATATGTGACCACCCTTGCAGTATTAGCCATTTAATAATAAGATCATGAAAATCAGTTCACAACTGTCTAAGATATTGCATAACACACATACAAAAGTACTGTTGAACACCTCCCACTTTTTTGAAGTCCAGAAGTCTAGAGTTCTAGTCTAGTCTAAAAATATAGAGATTAAACTATAATCCATATTTGCTTTGCTTTCATTAAATTAAATTAAAAGATGAATCCTCACTATAGTGAAACTTAAGGTGTAAACAATATTTAGCAAATCATGCATAAATTAGTAATCTAAGTACCTCCTTATTTAGTTATATACGTAAAAGGAAGATTCTAAGTTAAATTTATGTTTAGCTGCATAAAAATTTTATTATCGATGTTAGAAACAAAAACAGAAGATTATTTTGTTAACAAAAGTGACACTTACTTTGCGCGGAAAAGACACGTTGTTCAATAAAGCTGGATAATCCTTTTTCAGTCCATTATACAGATCTAAAAAGTGCGAATATCGCCGCTCTACATTTGCTGGATCAGGATCAAATACTCTCGAGTCAGTAAGATCTTGTCTTACTTGCAACATGTAAGCTACAAACTTTTTCTCTTTATCGCCGCCTTCTACAGTTCTAGACGAAACTATTTCAAATTTCAGCATTTTATTTCAATTTATCCAAAATTCTAAAACACTGTCCTGAAAACAAAGCACTTTATTGTTTAGGTTTGTGACTTACTTAAAATATTCGAAGTAGGGATGTGAAAAAACAATCGATTTTAATATTAATCGATTATTTTTTTTCTTATAATCGATTTTTCGAAGTCGATTTTATTATAATAAAAATCAATTTTTATGTAAATTACTCGTTTCAATCGATTTTTGTAATCAGAGTCATCTGTGCGATGGATGTAAAAACGTGAAGTAAGTTCAATAACATGAATAAGTCAATCAAAAGACGGCGCCATCTTTATGTATCTCTATGTATGTAAAACAGTTTCGCTTCTGTGGTTTTCTTTCTTTTTTTGGTTAGTGTAAACAATTATATATAAACAATAAAAATGTCTTGTGAAACGCGTAAAAGTGACTGACTGAAGTATTTTATAATGAAAAAATGATGGCGGCCAACACGTCAATAGGCAAAAATGCTGAATTGGATCTATATATTGCGGCACCACTATCAAATCTCAAGGCAGATTCCCTCAATATATGGAGAAGATCTGAAGGAACTTTCCCTAAACTAACCGAATTGGCTTTTAAACACCTCTCAGTGATGGCCAGTTCCGCGCCAGCCGAAAGATTATTTTTGAAAGCGGGAAATATTGTCAGGAAAAAACGAAACCGTATTTTGGGAAAGAGACTAAGAAGAATTTTGGTGAAATGATTGTTTTTAAAGCCTTTAACTGAAAATTCATGGCAATAATTTTTTACCTTTTTTGTTTACACAAGTTTAAAAAAGGATTTGTTTTGTATTTTAGTTTTCAGATCAAAAGGTTGTCGTCGGATTATTTATAATTATATTTTTATTTTATTTTCATTCTAATCCACTGTAAATGATACTGAACATTAGTGGCATAATGATATTTAAATTTTTTGTTTGTTCAAACTTAATTTAAAAAAAAACTATCGGTTACTAATATTATGGTTTTATAATTATTTCTTGCTCGTGCTGTTTTCGAGAGTCATTACGAATCGTTTCGCGCGCAGACTTGACGACTTCCAGCCTCCCGAACAAGCCGGTTTCCGAAAGGGCTTTAGCACCATAGACCACATACATACCCTTCGGCAAATTGTACAGAAGTCCGAAGAGTACAATTTGCCACTATGTCTGGCGTATGTGGACTATGAGAAAGCCTTTGATTCCGTCGAAATTTGGGCGGTGCTGCAGTCCCTTCAGCGGTGCCAAGTTGACTGTCGGTATATCGAAGTGTTGAAGTGCTTGTACAGTAGGGCTACGGTATAGCTATCCGAGTACAGAACCAGAGTACGAAACCTATCCAATTGCAGAGAAGTGTAAGACAGGGTGACGTCATATCCCCGAAACTCTTCACCGCTGCATTGGAAGACGTTTTCAAGCTTCTGGACTGGAAGGATACGGTATCAACATCAATGGCGAGTACATCACTCACCTTCGATTTGCCGACGATATAGTCCTTATGGCTGAATCGCTGGAGGACCTAAGCACTATGCTCAATGACCTCAATAGTGTTTCCCAACGGATAGGTCTTAAGATGATCATGGACAAAACAAAGATCATGTTTAATGTCCATGTCACACCTATGCCGGTAGTTTTTGGGAACACTAAGCTCGAAGTTGTTGACGAGTATGTTTACCTGGGACAAATAGTCCGACTAGGTAAGTCCAACTTCGACCGAGAGGTCAATCGACGGATTCAACTCGGCCGGGCAGCGTTCGGGAAGCTACGACACATTTTCTCGTCAGACATACCTCAAAACCTTAAAACGAAATTGTACAACCAGTGCGTGTTGCCAGTGATGACTTACGGAACTGAGACGTGGTCCTTCACAGCTGGCCGTATGAGGAAGCTCAAGGTTGCTCAGCGAGCTATGGAGAGGGCTATGCTCGGAGTTTCTCTGCGTGATAAACTTAGAAATAAGGATATCCGCAGTAGAACTAGAGTAACCGACATAGCCCAACGGATTAGTAAGCTGAAGTGGCAGTGAGCCGGCCATATAGCTCGAAGAACCGACAACCGATGGGGAAGAAAGGTTCTCGAGTGGCAGCCTCGTACCGGTAGGCGAAGTGTAGGGCGACCCCCCACGAGATGGAGTGACGACCTGGTAAGGCATGCAGGAAGTCGATGGATGCAGGTGGCTCAGGACCGTGCTTTGTGGCATTTCTTGGGGGAGGCCTATGTTCAGCAGTGGACTTATGAAAGGCTGTAATGATGATGATGATGATGAATTATTTCTTATATTTACGCGAAGACTACACATTAAATGAAATTAATTTTTACGGATTTGATCACGCTTAATTTAACTTTTTAATTCCTGACGTTTCGGGTGCTTCACAGCACCCATGGTCACGGGGGAACTGAGATCTTTGACGTCCAGATGTCATAGTTAGTCTGGCTAAATTCAGTTTTTGAATATTAATTTTTGGTCCGATCTACGCAGAATGAGCTTACAGTATCTTGAAGTCTTACAGTGGTATGCTTGGGTTTGGATTTAATTTTATTAATTATAGGATGCCAAGCAGATGACAGCACCCATCCATCTTCTCTATTGAAATTAGGATGTTTTATTAATTTCGATAGCCTCGCGAATCATCCTTGGTAGGAATCGGTGTTCTTTTGCGAGGATTTGTGGTTCAACTATGACATAGGGACGTCAAACACCTCAGTCCCAGTCACATCCGTAATTCTAAGGTGCCTTATTTATATTTACAATTACAAAAAGTACTCTGTGCAATTACATTTGAATTCAACAAACGATTACGATCACAGACTAACTAGTAGATTCTACACGAATATTATGATTGTAAATCACTATTCTATTTAGGCTTGGGCAAAAAATATCAATATTTCGATATTATTTATTAAAAATATCGATTTATATCTTCGATATTTTATATCGACATACTCTAGTACATACTCTTAGTTATTATAATAGTACCTAGTCACTCTAAGTACCATACATATAGTAGGATACACTACATATACTGTACGTAAGTAGCCCAGTATTGAGTCAGTATCCACTTTGTCAAAAATCGTTGCGAAACCGGTATCGAAATAACTATGGGGTCGATTTTCATTTCGAGGTACACTAGAACGGCATAATATCGTTAATTTATAGTTTCAGAAAATATAGTGTTTCGAAATCCGATATCAAATATCGATATATAGATTCGATATGATATTCAGAAAAAGCGATACTACCCAACTACTAGCGTAGATAGACTACTATAGTAGTCCATAGATAAATAAATACGTAGCAAGCTGTAACAGATTAATTTGATGCATTAGCATTGCATTAGTTGACCTATCAACTCGAGTTAACTCGAGTTGGATCTTCCTAACTCGAGTTTGGGCTGTTGTACATGAACGGATCAAGTAAGACAGCAAAATAGAAAGAACACGATTCGTACGTTGTGTATGCGCTTTGTGTTTCAAAGAGTATTTAGCTACAACCAAAACAATTTGTTATTTAAAATTTTGTAATAGCTAAGTTATGTAACTTAATTTTGCAAACATGCACAGTACCAATAGCGAAAACCCGCTAATAACAGTTTATCGTTATAACGTTATATTGTTCGGTAAATTGGAAATTTTCTGTTAATGGTAAAATATTTGAAAATAATTGTATATTTTTTTATGTGGTAGAGCCATGCTGCAGCTATATTACTGGTATAGTTGTAGCACGAATGTGTCGGCTCGACCGGGGAAGGACCACGCTCTCACAGAAGACATGCGTAAAATAGCAGCTTAACGCTGCTGTGTTTCGTATGGTGAGTGTAGAGAACCGAAGACCCTTTTTACTGGAAACGAGGCATTCCATCTTAGTTCTCACGGGTGACAACGCATCTGCATTTTGATTCGTAATCGAGGATAGATGTAGATGTCTATGGGCTTACAATCAGGTGAACTGTGTGCTCGTTTGTCACCCTTATCCTATAAAAAATATGCAAGTAGAAACATTAATTTTAGTACAACAATTATAACTAGCGATTTGCTCTGGCTTCCCTTGGGTAAGATCTATTAATGTGGCGTTATTTATCATTAAAAACTGTTACTTACTCATATCTCAATAGCATGTAAATACTTTATACAAAAATATTAACAAACAAAATCAACAATAAGTATGAAGAAAATTCTCAGAAGGCGTTTCATAGTTCACTAATTAGCAAAACTGGACAGAATTTATTTTTTGGGATTTATGGCATTTTGTAATCATTGATTCCAACGACAAGTTGGACTGAAATTATAGAACTTACGAAAAAGACATATCGTAACATATATTTTTGTCAACAGTTTTTGCCAGCGGGTGTGAGTAGAGATAGCGACAGTGTGTGAGGTAGAGTTAAATAGAGGCGACGCCATCTTCAATCCCATTCTTTAACCGCACGAGTAGGTAGTATAATAAATATTTTGAATTTGAAAATTTGAATTTATTAAAGAATATTTTGACTGTGATAAATGATAATTAAGCTATTAATAACTTATGTACCTACATCTTAAAGCTAGACTAATATTGCTTCGTGAAGACTGCTATTTAGCTAGTTTTGTTGTTAAGTACAGGTACTTACTATAACTAAGATTAAAACCAAAAATACGTGAGTATATGATATAAGTTTGGTAATTATAGTTATCCCAACCCACTAAAGAGCTAGATAGAAAAAAAATCATTTACTCTGTTTGGTACTGCTAACTCGAGTTGCGTAACTCGTGAACGTGAATTTCAACTGGAGTTTAGAATGAGAATTACAATAGTGCTGAATATTTCACCTCGAATAATTTTATCGATATAATGTTTATCGATATATTGGTTATTGATGTTTATATAATAAAAGTTAGATCACTATACTGAGTGATTTAAGGAAAATAAATATAACATAAGAAAAGTTTGTATTACATATTACGTGAGGATTAGGTAAAAATCCCGATCAGGATAATAAATCAATATATCTTACACACAGCAATTTAT